TAAATTTCCATTTCAAGAAAACCTATATAATAAATACTACACATTGTTTTTAAAGCTGCCCAGTTTTTCTTTGCTTCCTTGTTGGTTTTCCTTTGTTCTCTGCTGTGTACTTTTTACTTTATTTTTTCCCCTTCCCTCCCTCCACCACCCTAAAGAAGGCTACAATTAAGCATGGATACACACACACACACATATACAAATATATACATATACAGTCATACACATATATGCAAGACTGTACTATGCTTATTTCCTCCTATCATCCATTTCGCTGAAGGTAGATAGCATATTCCTTCAGAGGTCCAAGTCTTTCATTGTTTTTCTAAATCAACCAGCTCATCATTTCCTACATCCCAGCAATATTTCAACCCAATCATATCCTGAGAGTCTGTCTATGAAAATCCCCTGCTCCCAATTGTCTGCATTCCTTCTATTCTTGGCTTCCTTGGTTTTGTTTATCCAAGAAAATTTAAATTTAAAATAATCAAAATTATCCTTTTTACACTCCAACAATGCTCTCACTTTATAATATAGTTTAATGTCTGATACTGCTGAATCTAATTCCTTTATATCTTTTTTCCCTGGTTTCTTTGAGATTCCTGACCTTTTGTTCTTCTACATGAACTATTATTATTTTTTTCTAACTCAGTAAAATAAATTTTAGTAATTTAATTGAGATGATATTAAATTGATTAGTTAGGAAAATTGTCATTTTAAAAATTATATTGCCTTTACTTACCCATGAACAATAAACACTACTTCAATTATTTAGACCAGAGTTTATTTGTACAAAAAACTTTTTAGGGGGCAGCTAGGTGGCGCAGTGGATAGAGCACTGGCCCTGGAGTCAGGAGTATCTGAGTTCAAATTCGGGCTCAGACACATAACACTTACCAGCTGTGTGACCCTTGGCAAGTCATTTAGTCCCATTGCCAAGCCAAAAAACAAAAAAGAAAAAGAAAAAAATGTTTATGTTTATGTTCATATAGTCACTCAGTCTGTTTTGGCAAACATGCACTCTGGTATTTTATACTGTCTAGGGTATTTTAAATGGTCTAAACCAATATTGAACAATATTGCTGACACATGGTGTAGTTTCTCTACTTTTCACTTTTGATTATATTTAATTTTAGCTTTGTCTGAGATCATGACTACTATCCCTTCTTTTTTTTTTACATACTAAATTCTACTCTTGCCCTTTATTTTATCTTCATGTGTATCTCTCATTTTTATAACATTTCCTGAAAGCAACATATTGTTGAATTCCAATTTTTAATCTGCTATCCATTTCCATTTTATGAGTAAATTCATTCCATTCACATTCGAAGCTACAATTACTTGTATTTTCCTTCTCCTTATTTTTCCTCACTATTCTTCTCACCCTATTTACTCTATCCCTCCTCACTCCTCTGCTTTACTTCTACCCACTATCTTGCCCTCTTAGTCCTTAACCTACCCACCCCTGTAAGAGTCCCTCCCTTATCCTCTCTCCCCATCCTATCCCTTTGCCCTATTTCTTTCTGAATTTAGAAGATTTTTATACACTTTTAGATATACATTGTTCCCTCTTTAACCCATTCCTCATGAGTAAGTTTCTGGCACTACTTGCCTTCTCCTTACTAGCTTCTTCTGTATCAATTTTTCCCTTTTTGCCTCATTTGTATGAAATAATTACTCCTTTATTTCTCCTTACACAGTTTCATTTTTTTAGAATCACTCGATCATACTCAGCTCAGCCCATGCCTTTCTTTCAAACTATCTACATAACGATGACAATCATTAAGAATGCTGCTAATATTTTCACATATGCAAAGTAAACAATTTGGCCTTATTGAGTCCCTTATAATTGGTCTTTAACGTTTACCTTATATTTCTCCTGGATGTTATATGATGAATTTTCCCTATTGTTCTGGGGTTTTTGTCACAAAAACCTAAACGTCTTTGAGTTTGTCAAATGTCCATTTTTTTTCCCATTCAGGATTATAATTAACTTTGCTGGGTAAATTATCCTTGGTCATAACCCCAGCTCTTTTACTGTATGAAACATAGTATTCCAAGACCTATGGTCCTTCAACATTGTAGCTGCTATGTCTTGTGTAATCCTTATTTTAGCTCCATAATGTTTAAATTTCTTTTTCTTGTTGCTTCCAATATTTCCTCCTTAACCCAGGAACTTTGAAATTTGGCTATCATATCCCTGCAGTTTTCCTCCTGTGATCTCTTTCAGGTGGTGATCAGTGGATTTTTTCTAGTTCTACTTTGTCTTCTTGTTCTAGAACTTCAAGACAACTTTCCTTGATAATTTCTTGTAATTTTGTATCAAGATTCTTTTTTTAATTATAATTTCCAGGTAGTCCAACTATTTTTGTATTACTTTTCCTTGATCTGTTCTCCAGATTGGTTGTTTTCCTGATGAGATTGTCTACTTTCTCTTCTATTTTTTCATTCTTTTGATTTTGTTTTATGATTTCTTGGCATCTTCGAATGTCATTAGCTTCCCCTTGCCCAATTCTTGTTTTCAAGGAATTTTCTTCCTTAAGTTTTTGATTCTCTATTTCCAATTGGTTGACTTTCTTTTCACAATTTTATTTATTTTCTTGGGTTGCTCTTATTTTTTCTTCTAATTTTTCCTCAATCTCTCTTATTTGATTTTTATAGTCCTTTTAAAGTTCTTCCAAGAACTCTTTTCATGCTTGGGACCATTTGATGTTTCTCATTGAAAAAGAAGTGGGTTTTTTAGCTCCATTATCTTCTTATGAATATGAACCCAGATCTTCTCTATCTCCATAGTAACTGTCTATGGTTGAATTATTTCTCATTTGCGTATTCATTTTTATTTATTTTTTATTTCATTTTGTTTTTAGCAGCTATTAGTGTAATCATCTTATAGTTCCAAGGTATGGGGAATGATGCCCCAAGCCTCAGGTTCTTCTTACTGTTATTTTCTGAAGTCTCTCTTGGGACCCAACCTTGGGCTTTCCTCTCCACTCCTAAGCCATGGCTAGGGCCCCTACCCACACAGTTTTACAAATGATCTTGCTTCCTGCAGTCCCCTGGGTGGCTACAAACTATAGCTGTCCTCTCTACCCTGGAACTGAAAACAGGGTCTTTGCTCTCCTGCAAGTGTCCACAGCCAGCAACTACTGCTGCTGCACTTAGTAGGTGTGTGCTAGCTCTTTCTCCCCACAGCCATAGCCCAGGATGCATCTGGTCAGTACAGCTGTGCTTGGCATCCCTCAGTAGTGGAAAGTCCTTCAATCTTCTACTCAGTGGTCAGACCCTCACACTGTCTTCAAGATGAAAGTTTCTAAGGCTGAGGCTGCCCCTCAACCCAACTACTCACTCCCAGGGCTTATTGTTTGTTGATTCCATAGAGTCGGCCTGGAGGTGTTTGTGCTTCACTCAGGACAAACCTAAGCAGCTGGAGGTTAGGTCTTTCTTGGGGTCTTCTCAAATTATCTTAAGAGGACAACTGCTTTACCTTGTGTATATTTTTGCTGCTCAAGAGGCAATGTACTGTCTTTTTTCATGGAGGAAATTTGAAGAACCAAAAGTTCTCTGACCTCTGCCATCTTTCCAGAATCTTCTCCATGTCTTAATATATAGTGTTCAAGGTGCTTTTGGTTTTTTTTTTAAATGAAGCCTGATGATTTTTAATAGTGTCTCTCCTTTACTTATTTTTTAGGCTAGTTGTTTTGGATAAAGGGAGATGCATTACATTTCCCCTTCTATTTTTTTCATTTTTAAAAAATTTTGTTCTGATATTTCTTGCTGTCTTGGGGATTCGGTGATGTCTGGGCTATTCTGTCAGATAACTTATGTAAAATTGACACCTTTCTGTTTTAAGATATTTATTCTCCTTTCAATTCTTTTTTTTTCCAGAGCTTTAATTTAATTTATGTCTTGCTTAACTTTTTTCTAGGTATTCATGTAGGCTTCAAGGAAAAAATAATTTCCTTTGAGTTTCTGCTTGCAGTTGTTCTGCAGTTACATTCTCCTATGTTGTATTTTGGGGCATCTCTAGAGTTATGAAAACTCTTCATAGTTTTCTGTATTTTCTTCTGCTTGGTCATCTCTCTAGACTTAGTTCCTGAATTGGGGCTCTGTGCCAGAACCAGGCTTTGCTTCTCATTGTATTTTTGGGTAGGGTGGTCAGCAGGGTCACTTTGGGCTACTGAGGTGAGCTCAACCCCCAGGTTTAAGCATCTCTACATCTTTGAGTTGCTGACTCTCCAAGACTCTCTATGGTATTTCATGACAGAGTGCTAGGGAATTTCTGAGTCCTGGGGTCTCCTGGTCTGAGCTCTGCTGCACTTACACTGATGGCTTTCAAGATTCTTGCTGTGGGTTTCCAATATCTGTAGCACTTTTTCAGGACAGTGTTCCAGTCTTGCTGGCTCCAGACACAGAGCCTTGCAGACTACAAGTGTTCTCTGGTTCATATCTGGCCATGTCAGCAGGCTGCTGGCTTGTTTGCCTGTGCTGGTGCTGGTTTTGCTAGAGGCCACTTTCCCCAATACCTGTGGATATCTGGATGACTTTTTGGCAGTTCTGGCATAGAAGTAGTCACTGTAGTTCATTATTTGACCTGGCATGATTTTTAGGTTTTTACTGGAGTGGATATGGAGGAGCTAATGCCTGCTTCCATTCAAGTGGCCTTATTGGTTTAAAGTCTTCTTCACTTTCTATAAGTGCATACAAGTTTTCTCATGTTTCTCTGAAGTCTTTGTATTTGTCATTCCTTACAGTCTGATATTAATAATATTTGCCTATCACAATTATTCAGACACAATTGTTAAGCACCTATCCTGGACTTACCCTGTTTCCAGTTTTTGTTTTTGTTTTTGCAACTACAAAAAGTGCTACCATGACTCTTTTGGTATACGTAGGTTCTTTCTGTCTTTGACTTCCTTAGAGTATTGCCTAGAAAAGGTTTTGTTAGATCAAGGATGTGAACAATGTAGTCACATTTTCCCCGTAATTCCAAATTGCTTTCCATGATGATAGAACCAATTTACAGTTCACCCAACAGTACATTAGTATGTCTATCTTTTCATAACTCTGTTCCTCAACACTTACTATTTTTGACCTTTCACTATTTTTGCCAATTTTATTGGTGGGAAGTTTTTTACCTCATTTGTTTTAGCTTGCAGTTCTTTTCATTAATGATCTGGAGTATTTTATGGGTAGTTATTGACTTGCATTGCTTCTTTTGAAAACTGCTTGCTCATATCTTTTATCACTTAATTGGGAGTGTCTCAGTCATATATTTGTGTCAATTTCTTATAAACTTATCAGAACTACTTGAGTCAAGGATTTTCCCCTCCAATCTGTAGTTTTTCTTATTTTAGCTCCATTAATTTTGTGCAGCTTTCAAATTTTTATATAAATTGTCTATTTTATCTTTTGTAACCTTCTCTATCCCTTTCAGGTTATGAATTCTCTCCCTAACTACCTACTACTCTAAATTTATTGGATGTAACTTTTAATATTTAATTATTCACTTAGAGCTAGTTTTTCCAATCAGTTTTTGTTGAACAGGGCCTTCTTCTAGTAGTTTGAATTCTTGTCCTATTGATGGTGCATAGATTCCTTGAGGACAAGGACAGTTTCATTTTTTGTCTTTGTCTCCCCAACATTCAGAATTGCACCTGGCACATACTGACGCTCAATAAATGCTTATTGATTGATTGATTAAACAATGGGCTATGTGTTCATTCTTACATGATATTTAAAGAAAAACATGTAAAGTACAGGCAACTTCATTGATAGTAGTGGGGTTACTTCTTAGTTTATAAAGAATTCATCTGTAAACCCATACCAAAGTACAATTAACTCGAATTTTTATGTGCTTGTCTCTCTTTTTCCAATACACTGATAGCTAAAGGCCTGATGAGCTCAAAGAAATTGCATTTACTTTGTTTCACCCATTTATTTCTTTGGCATTGGAGATGGAATGGATTATATAATCAAGTCAGTATCCTCTGAGTGTTGTGATCTTGAAGAAATACAATTTACTTGAAAACTAATGATGTGAAAACACTAGGTCAATTAACTGTTGCCTTCTGTTTCACTGGGTAAGAACATGTGTGGAATAATAAGTCATGACTAAATACATGCCAATAAATGCTTAGGTTGCGTGAGATTGTCTTTGTTCCAAACTAATGGTGGAAGAGAAACTGAAAAAAATTACAGATGAATCCTTTAAAAACATTTCATTTGTTTCTATTTTTCGACATGGCTTCTCCCTGAGAATTAAGATTTAAGCAAAAAGGCAATGGTAGAAACATCTCAGTTTGTCTGAAGCTTATAGGCTCATAGAGCTAGGATCATAAAGTCAGAACTGGAAAGGATCTCCAAGTTCACCACAGTTCAGCAAATCGGGTGTTCTGCAGATCATACCTGTTACGTTATTAAAGCATTTTATGAAACAACTGATCATTGGAATTAGCTCTTTTTCCTGGCTCAGAATTTTCAAATTTGCCAAAACTAAGCAAACTTGATTTATCTGAAGCTTTACGTGAACTGGGCAAGAAAGACAACAGCTGAAAATGAGTATCTGCATGCATAGATCAAGGTAGCAAAAGCAGATTATGATCTTGGCCCTGGAGTAGCAACCCATTTATAGGAGACATCTGTGGTCTCTTTTGTTCATCTCATAGCTCTCCACATGCACAGAAATGAACCAGTTTAGCCTATTTCTAAGCTACATTGAATCTAGGACAGATTATTTTGCCAGCAAATCCCTTTTTATTATTATACCATGGACATTTTGCCTCTTCAGGGAGGGCAGGGGCAGGGCAGGATGAGAGAGTATTTCCAACATTCCAGGCTTCCTACATTCTTCCTGACATATCCCCCAAGGATGAACATAGTAGCCATTACACACAGAATTCACTTCCTCCTTATTTCATAATGAATTGTGTTGATGTTGGAGTCAACTTGCACTGAACTACTTTCTGCTGTTTTCAGTTGATGAGTTAGATGTCCTGAAACAGCTGATGACAGAGCTGCTCCTCTGGGGATGTGATGTGCATCTACACCTGATGAGGCTGACAGAGCAACTGGAAACACTGCCGTGGCTTGTCATACTTAAATTCAATGAATGAAGTCTTGCAGACACTGAGATCCAAATCTTGGGCAAGTGCTAGAAGGACAAATGTATGGAATGCAAGTGAGAGAATAAGGCCAGGTCTAGACAAAATTGTGAAGTAGACAGTTTTCAGTATCTTTCCCCTAGTGGAGAGGTCTAGATTTGAAGTACGGAGAGAACTGGGTTCATATCCCATCTCTGACTTTTACTCAATAATGTGCGAAGGCATTTAACTTCCCTCAGCTTTAGTTTCCTCACCTGCAAAATGGGAACAAAAATACCTGTAGCACAGAGTTTCTTAACCTGGAGTCTGTTAATTTAAAAAATCAATAATTGTATTTAAATATAATTGATTTCCTTTATAGTCCAATGCATTTTATTTTATGCATTTGCAAACAGTATTCTAAGAAAGGGTCCCAGATTGCCAAGATCCTTAATACAAAAAAAAGGTTAAGAACCATTCCTGTAATAGAACTACATTATGAGGTCCTGTGAGGATTGGATGAGATAATGTGATAGTATGCTTTGAAAATCTGAGGGCCCTTTGTAGTGGAAAGTTTCAAATTTTCTTTTGCAGGGTCCTTGGCTTTTCTCCAACCCAAGTCAAATCCGCTATACTCAACAGTGGGAGCAGCAACTCTAGATAATTTGAATAACCTCACTCAGTAGATACCTGACAAATTCATGGGGTTGGAAGGGAAGACTGGAAGACTCTGCTGAAGCACTTGACATAATTGAGAGGCAGCTAAGTGCTGAGGGAAAAAGAATATTAGATTGTGAATGAAGTTAATCATGATCACACCTGGTAGTGAGGACAGACTACCTGAAAGAAAGGGCAACCTGTGGTATGTGAATGTAATGTAATGTAATATTGTGGTATAGCAAGAAATGACAAATATGAGTAATTTATAGGACCATAGGAAGATCTGTATGAATTGAACTACTGAAATAGCTCATAATTATTCTCCCTGCCTCAAGCTTCTCCTCACTACAATCCATCTTCAACACAGCTGTTAGAGATGTTTTCCTAAGGCACACCTCTGACCATGTGACCCCTGTACTCAACAGACTTTACTGTTACCTCCAGGATCAAATGTAATGCCCCTTGGCTTGGCATGTAAAGGTCTTCATAACTTGCTCCCTCCCAACTTTTCCAGGCTTCTTACACTTTATTCCTCTCCACAATCTATGATTTCTTTTTGTTCCTGGTACACGACACTCCATCTCCCACCTCCTGCCTTTGCACTGGCTGTCCCCAATGTCGGGAATGGCTTCCCAACTCTGCATTTTAGAATCCATGGCTTCCTTAAAATCTTAGTTCATGTGTAGTATTTATCATATAGGTTTTCTTGAAATAGAAATTTACTGTTTTATATTGAATGCTCTGCTGTGTACATGGCAATTTTTTTCTTTTCTCATTTTGTATTTAAGTGTAAAATAAAATTTACCAAAAAACAAACAAAAAAACCCCTCAGTTCAAAGAGTACTTTTTGTGGACATCTTATGCAGTCCTCTTCCCTCCCTTCTTGCCTATTCCCCTCTTATGACCTTCTCCTCTAAAGATACCTTCCATCTATTCTGTATCTTCTATGTACCGAATTACTTACATTCCTCTCTCTTCCAATACATGCTCCTTGACAGCAGAGCGCCCTATTTTTATCAGTTTCCCCCAGTCTTAGCACAGCACCTAGAACATTGTAAGCATAATAACTGCTTGCAGATCACCTGGTTGATGTAGAATGAAGTAGGACTAAAATAATATACACAACTACGACCAATGAAAAGGAGGTAATCTCATCAAAAGGAAGCTGTACTCTGAGAATTGAAAAACCAGTGATGAACTTGGAGAACAATAGATTCTAAGCTCCTTGAGAGGTTTTGCTTTATTTATTTGTTTATTTATTTGCAGCACCTAGCAAATGGCTTGGCATACATTACTGCTTAATAAATGCTTATTGATTTAATTTCGAAGAGATGATGATGGATTTAGAGCATAGGCTGCCTCCTTACTACATGCCAGATTTTATATCATTTATTATTTTATAGTATTGGTGGCATATTATATAGTGAATTTCTTCTATACAGACTTCGATCACCTTAGCAACTTATTGGGGAATTTTTTAGCATTTTCATTATATTTGGATCTATTTTATATACTTACAGTATAAATAAGCCACAAAAGTGTGGACAAGAATAAAACATTTTCGGTAATCAACAAAGGCAGTATAAATGTAATGCATTTTCTGGTTTACTTGTTCAATAACCGCCAAAGCAATAATGTGTTTCTTTTTATACCCCAGGGAAATTTTTGGTTTGTTCCTCTTGCTCCTCAGTCACAATGTTGTTTCCTTGTGTTTACATGTTTTATTATTTGTATCTTATACTCTGGAATTTATATGTAAGCAGTCATGGGGCACTGATCTACTACTGTTCTTTTACAGCTAATGATCAGTAAATTATTATTGCTTTGAGCAGCTGTACCCTCTCAGTGCCTCTCTCCTCTCTCTAGGCCTTACTGCTGTCCCAATGGTTCTTCAAGGCCTAGCTGTGGCTGTCCTCATCTAGACTGGCCCTTCCTAGATTCTTTAGCCAGAACAGCCAGCAAAATCCAAGATCAAAAAGATGATGCAATCTACGCTCAAAGTGAATAGTGTTAGCCATTCATTGCCATGCCTTGCCCCACCCCCTAAAAAAAGTGTTACCCTTCAGATCTACCCAAAGTTCCTCCCCAACATAAAAGTAAACAGGACATATGTTTGCCAAATATTTGGTCAGCATATATTTCCCTGTTTTATTCCTCATTTGATGCTGATGTTTAGAGAACCAGTCATCTTGGCTGCATGGAGCACAGAGTATTTTGTGATTTTAAAAAGGGATATAATTTTTCAGAGAATTTTTATGCCTTTCTGCTCTACTGAGGTAAAGGTTTGTGTATTTCGCCCTGCTGCTAGTGCCTTTCCAGATCACTTTCAATTTATATTGTATGTATCTTGTATGTTACTTTTTGCATGTTGTTTTCACCATTAGAACGTAAGGTGCTTGTGAGCAGGTATCATTTATTTGAGTTTCTTTGTATCACTAGCACTTAGCACAATGTCTGACAAATAGATACCTTGGATTGATGACTTATTTTAAATAATCAACTAACTGTAATCAATAGGCTCATATTATTTTATCCACACAGTTTGCAGTGCATCAAGCACTAGATCTGGAATTAGGAAGACCAGAGTTCAAATGGCCTCAAACACCGATTAGCTGTGTGACCTTAACAAGTCACTTAACCTCTTGTTTGCTTCAATTTCCCCATCTCTAACACAGGGATAATAATAGCACCTACCTCCCAGGGTTGTTGTGAGGATCAAATAATAAAACAGTTAAGCATTTAGCACAGTGCCTGGCACTTAGTAGGTGCTATGCAAATATTAGAAATTGTTATCATTCTCGTGTAATTGTGAGGATGTGATTGCCTATAAAAACTGTTTACAAAAGCTTTTTGCTTCTCATATTTTTGTGCATATACAATCACAACAAGGAGGCCAAGAGGTCTCACAAACCACTTCAGTCTGGTTATCCTTGATCTTCAGTAACTTGCCAAATAGGAACTGGGTGACCTGTTTGCCTTAGAAGCAGGTCTATTTCTGGCCTACTTTGTTTATAGAGAATTGTTATTCTATTTTCTGTCATTTGATTCCTAGGCCATTCTAGAGAATGGTAGCTTGGAAACCTTGGGAATCTTCTCTCTTGTTGTCTATTCCTGTTGGGAGGCTTTGATCCAGAACCACAGCTCAAGGCTTATGACTAGATCTCAAATAGCTTCTCTGCAGGGAAAATAGGAGAGGTGTCCCTGTCATATAGGATGAGGACCCTTTCGTTTGCCAGAATTATTCTGAAGATTTAGGGGGACAAAATGATCGCCTTTAGCTCTACTAAGATGGTGTAAAAGGCTTTTCCCTCTCTTAATGAGAGCAGGTGTGTTAAGCCCAAAGATGGCTGGTGTATATCACTGATTATAATAAATTCCAAGTGTTTCCCTATAAATCAGTAAGCATTTATTAAACACTTACTATGTGCCAGGCACTGTGCTAAGAACTGAGAATACAAATACAAGCAGGAAGATAGTCCCTGCCCTCAAGGAGCTTACATGCTAACTGGGAAGATAACACATAAAGATGAAAAGAGGTGCAGGGTATGGGATGAGATAAAGGTACCCTGTGTGAGGGCATAGTGGATTAAGTCCAGGGTGCAATTCTATAACCTTTAGGATCACATATAAAGTTCTCTTTGGGGCAGCTAAAGCTTTTCACAAACTTTCTAGCAGTATTACATATAACTCTCCTTCATTCACACTATGGTTATTGTTTTGTCTAGCTCTGTAAAATATCCCTTTAGTAGTTTCACTGATAGAGTACTAAATCTGTCAATTAATTTAGGTACCATTATTTTAATTATTTCGGCAATTTTGTTTTACTGGCAGTCCAATCTTAGTTTTTGATACCTGATCACCTTGATACTCTCATCTTCCTAGGTTTTAATGACAGTGCTCTCTTCTGATTTTCTTCCCACCCATCTGACAATTCCTTCTCAGTTTCCTGGCTGAAGCTTGATACTGGTCATACCCACTAACAGTGGGTGTCCCCAAGGCTCTTTCCTAGGTCCTCTTCTCTTATCTCTCTATAGTCTTTCATTTCATAATCTCATCATCTTTCATGGATTCAATTATTTCTATACAGATGATTCTCAGATTTGTCTATCTCCCCCTAACTTCTCTCCTACAATTTCACATTTCAAAACTGCCTATTGGACATCTCAAACCAGATGCCCCATAGGCATCCTAAACTCAACATGTCCAAAACTGAACTCATCTCCCCTACCCCTACATACTTTCACTGTTTCCTAATAACATCTCTATTATGATTGAGGGTACAACCATTCTCCTAGTCACCCAGGTTTGACTCCTCATTCTCTCTCATACATACTCCCCCCTCTTCCACATCCAATCATTTGCTGAGTCTTGTTATTTCTCCCATGGTTACATGTCTTGTACACTCTCTCTTCTCTTCTCTGACATTGACACCACCCTAGTGCAAATCCTCATCACCTCATGCCTCCATTATTGCAACAGACTGATGGTTATTCACCCTAGCTCAAGTCTCTCCTCACTCAAGTCCATTCTCCACTTAGCTATTAAAGTAATCTTCCTGGGGCAGCTAGGTGGCACAGTCGATAGAGCACCGGCCCTGAAGTCAGGAGGACCTGAGTTCAAATTCGGCCTCAGACCAAACAGTTCACACTTAATAGCTGTGTGACCCTGGGCAAGTCGCTTAACCCCAATTGCCTAAAAAAAAAAAAAAAAAAGAAAAAAAAAAGAAAAAGAAAAGACAAAGTAATCTTCCTAAAGCCTAAGTTTGCCTATGTCTCCTTTTGTCAATAAAAACATGTGGCTCCCTGTTACCTCCAAGAAAAAATACCACATTGTTTTCTGATATTCAATGGGTCTAAACATGGCATTTATAAACAACCAGGTCAATGATTCTTTAAATCAGCTCTATGTGCAAAGAAAATTCAGAAAATGTGGCTTTGAAGTGACTGAAGCTCACTTCAAACTAACACTATCATTATTTCTATTCTTAGGATCATTCTTTGGGAAAAAACTTCCAGAAAACTTCCAGCAGTTGGATTTGGCGGGGAATTGTGTGAGCAGTAATGGATGGGTTTGCCGTTATTGGAATATTAGTGAATCTCAAGAAATAGGTTTTTGTTTTTTTTAACTTCAATAGCAAAGAAGAACTGCTTCCTGACCCACAGTTGGTCAGAAAATTTGGTCATGTACTACACAAGCTAAATTATTTGCAAGAAATCAGGTTAATAAGATGGCACTTTGATGATAATGATTTCAATGTTATTCAATCTAATAAATTTAAACTAGCAATTGTTTAAAAAGTCTAAACATACAACTGTTTAAAAGCTTGGCTTTAAGTTCTGAAATACTACATCACTGTTAAGTACTTATGTAATATAGTCTCTACAATTAACTCTTAAGTTTGTATAAAATGAAAAAAATTGTTCTCTCTCCTTTCCACTTTGAGCCCTGGAATGCTGCTCACTACCCATTTAGTCATCCCATGTTTACTGGTTGAATCTGAATTAATATTAAGTCAGTCAATAGGGACCAGGGAGGAGTCACTGAAATGGAAGTACTGTAGCTAGTATTTGTTATCTATTCTCTCTTTTATCAGAATGCAAGCTCCATGAAGGCAGGTTAGTTTTCTTTTCTGTCTTTGTAATTCCAGCAACTAGCAAGAGTATGTATTAAGTACTTAATAATGTTAGTTGAATCAAACTGAATTGATAGCTGACTTATCTTTGTATTAGCTTCAATACCTACCATGGTGCCCTGTACATGTTAGATTCTTTATAATATCAGTTGCATAAATGACAATGAAATGTACAAAAATGAGTGCAATAATTGCTTAAAAACAGAGTAAATGTACTTAAGCATTCTTAAGACTCTAATAGCTTAATTCAAATAATACAGAATATTAAAAACTGCTTCTCTTACTAGAGACAGATCAGTATCCTTTACCCTAGCAGAAAATCAGCAGCTGCTTATAGCTCAACCAGAATACTGTCAATCACAGGCATGAAATCTAGGTTTTCTATCAAGGAGCTGCTATGCCTTTTTAATCACCAATCACAGGCTTCAGTATTGGAAAAGGAGAAAAAAGATATGTTTGCATTCCACAGGAGTCAAAGAGACACTGCCCAAATCATTTTAACATCCCCACCCTATAAAAAATGAACCTAAAAGGAAAATATGATGCCAGTTCAAAAATCTAGCCTTACCTCCATGTCGTCTGGGAAAAAAACAAAAGTAAACAACTATTCACTTGGCACCAGACTGTCCACCTCCCATTCCCATGGTAGCTCAAGTTAATGGCTTTGGTGTCAGTATAGGTTAAAAGCTGGCCATTATATTGAGGTAGTCACTGCAATAAAAAAGTCTGGGCTCAACATTTTTTATTCAGCAAGGGGGCACTGATATACACATGTGGTTGCTGCTCAGTTCAATGCCTGCTGATCACATCTTCAGAAAAATTTTCATCAAAGTCAAACTAGATGACAAGCACTTAATCTTTCAAACTTCATGTCTAGATACCTACAGTTGGCACTATGGCAACATCAAGGCTGTTACTTATAGGCTGTTTGCTAGCAAAACTTTTTTTTTCCCTGTGGGATAGTCTGGAAAATATGCTCTTTGAAATAAAATGCATCACCCAAAGCAGATGGCAGCATGAATGAAACACCAGCAGGTACAGCCAGTTCTACTTTCACATCCCATAGGCAACTTTGAATAACCATTCTCAACTAGTGTAAACAGTAATTAAAGCACCTTTGGTGGGGAACTTGTATAAGTGGCCACCTTTGAATGGCTGTGGAAGAAACAGGCTTCACACAGACTCAAGATCAGCACCCGAACACCATTACTCTCACAGAAGTAGAGATTGTATGTCGGGGATGGAGAACATACCTTTTACCACCTCTCAAGATATGGAAGTTCTTCTGCTCTCTATGAAGACACTCACAGGCACATTTGGTTGGTCACTGGTGGTAAGCCCTTCCTATAGTGGTAGCCTTTTAATAGGCACTGCCATAGGTGTGGTACAGCATAAGACCAGAGAGAAGGAAAACCGCCTTACCTTATTTTAGTAAGTCATATTCTCTTCAGGGGAAATATACAATTCTGATTAGATTTTTCCTACACTCCCAACTATCCACATGACACTATAAATGTGGAAGATAGATGACTTCTCAACAAGTAATTATTAGGATGTGCTACATATTTCCACTCGATGATACAACTCTACTCCACGAAGTTGTCTTCCTCTATATATTGGTAGACTAGACCTCATCCTGAGGCAAATAAGGGTCTTTCAAAACAGCTTCTTCATTCCTCCAAGCCTCCAATTTATAATCCCTCAGGGACAGGGAAAGATTTGATACTTTGTTGAAGAAGGGATGGTCTTCATGAACATTCTGAATTCAATGAACATCTTCTGTGGATGGATTAAAGAGTTGAGGTCATGCATCCTTAAAAGCAGCACCAAGTGGAACCTCCAAATTATAACTACTGGAAAATCCTTGGAAAATGGGGAAGTTTAACTTCATTTACCCATTAAATCGCTTTTTTAAAAACTGTGGCTGTAGAGGTCATATAAAGTTGACTATGTTTAAGAGAACATTCTGGTATTACTATGCTTTATACAAAGCAGCACTAGCTATACTGGAAAGTCCACATAATATATACATGGAAAACATTCAAAATAAATAAAATGTCCTATGCCATTTTCAAAAATATTGCCACATTACTATTTCACCATTCCTGATAAAGCAGGAGAATAAAGTATAATTCTGCTCTCAGGAGATATAATATTGTATAACAATCTAAAGTCCATTTTGTTTTTGTGACATCATACAGTATAAAAACAAAATATGCTAATTTGCAAGTATGATATGGCCAATACAACTATGTTCATGAAGTAGAGAACAATGAACTAGTAGAAGGGTCATAAATTATACAAGTTGTATAATTATAGATGTTTCTACCATTAATTCCTTACTGGAGTAATCATAGAATGGAAACCTGTTCATTGCACATTGACGAATAATTTGTTAAAAAGTTAACCAAAAGTGTAATGAAGAGAAGCATGGTTCATTTAAAACTGCAGAAAAATTAGTGAAAATCCTTATCAATAGCTAAATTTAAACAACAATAAAAACCATGATAAAAATTGTCACGACATTTTAAAATCTTGGTCAGTAAAACATGTATAGAAAACTTCAAGTAAAAGGAAAATTTGATTTTTACTTTGTAACACAATAACTTCCAAAAGGTAGTGTGGCCCCAAAGAAAATATAACTGACTTTGGAAAAGCTGTAGTAGAGATCTTTACTTTTATAGTGGTGATTTCTTATTCCTGAAATTCTTACCATTATTCAGGAAACAGATTCATAATCTCAACTGAAGAAAACATCTTTTAACTAAGAAAATGAAATGTTGCCACTCTGTGAAGTGATTCCTCATAAAGCAAACATGATATCATACTGCAATCAATCTCAAAAAATGAAAGAGAAGCAAAATCTGAATTCAGAGGAACACACTTTCTATATAGCAAATCCATTTAAGCTCTGCAAATTCAAGAGAATTTCAGTAGCTTAAATGCATTTTATGAAAATATAGTTTTATAGACTTCATGAAATGGGGATTAGACCATCAATTCCTAATATTTAGAATGAATGATCAGATGTTGACATTTCTGGCCAGCTAAAGAGACCAGAGGTCAAAAAGTTGATACCCTTAATAAGAATAAATAAGATGAAATGACAGTTTCTTATGGTCTGGGTTGCCCTCTACTGTTAGTTCCATATTTGCTTGGTATATTTGTAAAACCAGTCCTGAATCCTTGAGCTGCTCCCATTCCTGGTGCTCCAAATCCTTGACTGAACATACTGTTATATGGTGTGGATCCATGATTAATGCCCAAACCATAAGGCCTGGTTTGTGTATTTAGAAGAATAACTGGGGTCATATTTTTTCCTGGTGTATTAAAAGAAAATTCTGGAGGTGCAGTACTGGGTTTAGCTGGAGTCGATGTGAGAGGGTTCAACTCATCACCCTTTAAAGGTGGCATTGAAATTATATGATGATCTGGAAGGTTCAGCATATTGGCTGCAACAGGTCCTGATATTAAAGCAGGCCTCATCCAATCATCTTTGAAAATCTGAACAGTCAGAGTTGACACCAAAGTGTAGAGCCTGTTGGTCACATGGGCAAGAACCATTTGCTCATTGGCATCTCTTCGAATTCGAACATGCACCGATCCAGCCTAAAAGAGAACAAGGAGACAAGAAAGAGTCTGTGTAAGGCAAACTAAGCTGTTGGTGAGAAAGAAAGACTTCATTTATGATCTGGTTGTGACATTTTCTTAAAAAAAAAGGAATGCATAATTCCTTAACACCTCATAAACAGAGGCTACGTAGGGGAAAAGTTCATAAAACCATTTTTGCATGGTAAATAAAAGTACAGGCAGTAACCAGGAGAGGGCATATAGGTTTCTGAATCAACTCAGTTCTCCAGAAGAGAAAAATGGTAACAATTAATCAAATGGCACACAAATTGACCTTAGTTTCCCTGCTAGTTCAGTTACGGGACATCTAAAACCAAAAAGGGGTTCAAGATGCTTTCCAATATTAACTGAAGAATTATACAGAATAGAATGGTATCAGAAATTCTTTGGTCAATCATGTAGTCAGTATTTGAGACATAAGGGCTGGCTAAATTGCTTGAATTTTACTTGACTTTTTATGTAGTTTATACCATATGGTTGCCTTTGACTTCTTCTTTACCCCCTACATTTAATTAGTCACTAAGTCTTGTCAACTGTTTTATGAAGTGTTCTAAATTTGTTCCTCCTACAACTTCCATAAAAATTTGCTTTTAATTCATCTATCATATTTTAACTCAATCAATCATATTCCAAATTTGTACCAGTTATTTTTGTGCATCATATTTACCCAAACAGACTGTGAGTTCCTTGAGGGAAAGAATTCATCCCTATATTTTTCACAGTATTTTTGAAATACAAGGTATTTAATAAATGTTTGCTCCATGAATTCTCTTTTCTTCTCACTACCACCATAATCTGCTTCTTCATTATCAAGTGACCCACAGGTTTCCATAACAGTCCACTCTTTAGTCACCTTTCTCCCCACTTCACTGCATCCTGCACATGATTAAATAGACTAATACTGCTTAAAACACTGAATGTTTTTTTTTAAGAACCTACAATGACTTCCTACTACCAAGTCAAAACACCTCCTTAATTTCTGGTTAGTTTTTGTCTGTATTCTGGAAGGATAAGGAATCACTGTCTTTCTCTGGCATATGTAAAGCACATAGTAGGGTCTTAATTGTTGATTAACTGAGTACTCTGTTAGCTCTGATAAAAGGAACCTTTATAAATGAATTATACTGCAGCTACATATTTAGAAATTCTCAAAATTCAGTTACGTGACTAATCAGCCAATCCAGGGATTTCATTTGTTTTTACCTGGTCAATTCAGTATCAAGAAAGAACTGCAAGACTTCCAGTGGTGGAGCCAAGAGGTCTCCCAACATTCGCCTCCAAAAAACTTTAAAATAATGCCTCAAATTGAATGCTAGAGTGGCAGAGCCAACAAAAGGTCAGGATGAGACATTTTTCTAGCCCAAGACAACTTATGAGGTTGGAAGGAGAGATCTGTGACATGGAGATAGAGGCCGGCTTGAAGCTCATGTAGATGAAATGCCAGTGGTGGGATTACATGGTGGCAGCAGATGCAGCAGCAGTTTCAGGAGCTCTCAAGCCAGAGATGGTAAGGGGACCCAGCAACTGGTCAGAAAGAAATTACAGGGGACTCCTGTTCTAATACTGGATGTGGAACCAGACACTGTTTGGTAAATCTACTGCCTATATTCACTTTGGGGTTATGGTTCAAGGGAAGAGGTGTACTTTTGGTCAAGAGGAAGTGGGAACCCTGTGGAGTAATATCATTTTCGATCACAAGGGACTAGGGACCCCAAGGAACAGTATCACTTCCAGTTCCAAGGCATCAGAGACCCTGTGAGATAGTATCATTTCCAGTCCCAAGAGAGCAGGACCCCTAAGGAGCAGTATCAACTGCAATCCAAAGAGATCAGAGGTCCTTCCAGGATAAAGACCAGAGTATAGATCAAGAAAGCAATGACCACACTTCTCCCAAGATCATATCACCCTGGAAACACCAATAACTTCCAAACCCTGAGAACTAACTCTTAAAATAGCAATGTAAAAAAGCTATTAGACTGAGACAGTACTCCTCCTCACCAATTTTCCCA